GGGGTTTTGAAGGTTTTCTTATCGTGACTGTTTGGGTATTTTAGCGCCTGTTGAGGGCTTTTTGGGTACAGGAAAAACAGTATACGAAGCTTTTTCGAGAGAAGTGGGTGTGGGGAAAGGAATAGCATGTAGGGTTGAGATTTGCTTGGTTCAGATTTTTTAGGGTTACGTGTCACCATCAAGGTTCAGTGACTTCTGATTGATTCACAGCCGTTGATTTGACCGGTCGCTAACTCCATTCCCTGCCGAAGGATGTGTCGTGTGATGGGGCATGGCCCCGTGCGTCCGTTTAGCGGTCTTCTCGGAAATTGGGCTGATGGGACTGCGTCATCCAGGGAGACAAACGTTTTCTCTGCGCTGTCTACAGAAATACTAGCCTGCAAAACAGCCTATACTTTTTCTGATACAACCGCCCGTGCCCGCCAATTGCGTTAAAACTGAGGCAGGGCAAAAACGTAATAAAGAGCTACATAATAAATGGTTCGTTGACTTTTGACTACTCGCTTGGTGCGGTGTTCTATACCGTACAGGACGTCTCCACTCTCCACTGACAGTTTAAGTTCACAGTTTTCTGATTGGTTGCAATAAATGTTAAGAAATTAGCAATTTTGAAAATCAAAGTTCAGAGTAAAGAAATTCTACTTCAAAGATTTGCAATGCCTTAGTTTATTTAAGTTTTATTATGGTTTGGCTTGTTCATCTATTTGAAATCCGATAAGATCATATTGAAAATTGAAAATGTAAAGAAGGTCAAATCAAAAACTGAATTATTTAGCTTTTAGTTCATATAAGTTGGACCAAATTTTTTTTTTTTCGAGAAGGAATGAAGAAGTTAGATTTACTTTTAACTATTCCTATAATTTAATGTCATGATAATTTCTCATTATTGATGAATTTTTTTCACTTAATTTCTTTTTAGACTTCATAAAAAAGGCTTTCGTTTTTTTCGTTAAAATTGTATTAGGTCATAGTTAATTATTTATTTTTTTATAAATTAAAGATTATAATAAATTATTTAAAATTGAGTTTAACTTAATCATAAAGTCTCATCAATACATTAGAAAATTAAATCATCAGTCTTACTAAATCAAATATTATATATTGACCACTATAAGTTTATAATACACTAACAAAATAACAAGTTTTATATCATCAGTAAGTTTAAATTTGTGATACCTATAACCTGATTTGCTTGACATGAGGAGCACTCTCTCTTGTGTTATATCTTTTGTTAAAACCCTTTTTCCAACCGTCCTTATGTTGATTTTGTTAAAATACTTGTAGGATTGAGTTGATTGAATGACTATTAGTTAGAGATAGGGGCCCCATTCAAGGATTGGATACATGGGTTGGTTTTACCATCCTATAATAGAGCAAGCAAACTTCCATCATTCATATATCACACCAATCTCTAACTCTTGTGATAAACGCATAAGGTATATAGCAGGTGTACCATTTTGGGTTTTTAAGTAAAATATAAAGGGTTTAACTGTTAGGGCACTATATTGTTAGTGGTCATATTTAATTAATTAAGAGTTTTGTCACCTATTAGGGCACTATATTGTTAGTGGTTATGTTGGTGATTTATTCTTTACAAAATAAAATTTGAAAAATAAACCATGAAACTCAT